ACGCATATACATTTTATATATCATTAACATCGTGTGTCTGCGCAGCCCGTATTTTCTGTTGCTTAACCTGCGTAATAAACCTAACGCTCGTTGTGTCTTTGCTGTTATATATTCAATGTGTGGGCTCCAATTTAGCTTTTCATTATAAACAATTCCTAAGTACTTGACTGAATCTACTTGTGTAATAGGTTCCCGATTATACAATACAGACATTGAAACTGTATCTGCTATAGGAAACACCAAGAGCGCACTTTTGCTGATGTTCAATGACAATGAAATGGATTGCAACCAAATTTTTAGTGTATTAATATATCTTTGTAGTTTTTGATGTAGTGAGTAAATGTCGCTCTCTGCAGCGAAGAACGCGATATCATCTGCATAATTGTAGACACTAACATCCTGACAATTGGAATAGAACTCATAAGTATATTGAATAATGCTGAAGATAGGACGGGCCCTTGGGGAACATCACGTTTCTGTTTGAATTTATGCGAACAACAGCCATCCTTCACGCAATACAATTCCCTTGATTTTAGGAATTCTGCTATCCACTCAGTAATATACTGAGGAAACTTTAGACTCTGCAAGGCGGTCCGTAGAATAGAGTGCTCGACACTGTCGTACGCTTTAGCTATGTCGAGAGTTACTAATGCGGCGTACTGTTTCCTTTTACGAGCAAGCTGTATTCGACTCTCTAAATCCGCATGGGCGCACCAAATTGAGCATTCACAATGAAAACCAATTTGATTTGGCTTTAATATGACCTTATTCGTCATCCAGGAGTTTATTCGGCAGTTTAGGACCCTCTCTATGAGTTTCACCATGTTAGAAGTTAGCAAGATGGGTCTGATATTTTCTATGGTAAAACCTAATCCTTGCTGTTTTAATAATGGGATTACCTTAGCTATTTTCCAGTCATACGGTATCCAGGCATTCTTTAAAGAGTAGTTTATCAGATTGAGGACGTCGCCGGGGGATAGCCTTAAAAAAATTTTAATCATAGAAACTGTGATTTCATCTGGACCAGGAGCTGACGATGATAGATCTCGAATTACTTTTGATGCTTCAGACAGCATTACGTTTTCGAAGTCAGTGCTTATGCTAGACTTTTGCCAGTTGAAAGCCATAGTCGAAGAAAATGTAATTTCTAGACCTCTGCCAATTGACTCTAAGGAGTTCTTCGTTTCTTCCAATGATAGTTTTTCATAATCAGTATTTACTGTAGACAGCAGGATTTTGCGAGATCGCATATATTGAAATAAAGCTTTCCTGTTTTCAGGTTTCGAGAGAAAATCGAAATGTCTTATATTATATTCTTCTTTAGCTTGGGCCACCGTGTTTAAATACAGCGGCAAGAAATTCATAATCTGACCAGTTCTTAGAGGACTGATTATGTATTAGCTTCTTCCAAGCAGCCTGTCTTCGTCTGTGATCTCGTGAACAGTTGGAATTCCACCAGAGGCTATAGGGTACTCTCTTCGCCGATTTAACAGCAAATTCAGCGTTTTTGTACGCCCTTTTAATTACTGCGCTTAATTTCATAGCTTTAGTGTCATCTCCAGCCTGAGAGGGAGCGTCTAAAGCAGTTTTTAGGTCGTGTTCAAATTTTGTATAATTTATACAGGTCCGGGCATGGAAGCATGAAGGTTTGACGGGGCAAGCGATCTTGAACATTATTGGAAAGTGGTCACTGTTGGAGGTGCAATCAAGGGCTGTCCACGATGTACTAGCAATGGCCGAGCTTACAAAGCTTAAATCTAAGGCGGAGCGTGAATGAGCTCGAATAAATGTGGGAGTTCTAGCGTTAAGGCACAATAAGCTGTTGTCTACCGACCAGTCCCACAGCCGTTGTCCACACTGATCTGTTCCAAAACCCACAACGTCGACTTCTTCACTCTCAGTCTTAGGCACCTTTTTTGGGTATGTCCCACTATGCCCTGTTTCAGTCAGCCGAAATCACGTAACAATATCAAAGCCACTTGATCTTCAAGTGGGCACTATCAGAAAAGAGCATGTTTCCGCTATCTTGGCAGTGGCAAAAGATGGCTTCACTTCTGCTGGCAAGGCATTGCGGGAGCTTCCACTCCAGCAATTTTTCTTTAATCCTCTTTGGTTATACGACACCAGTTTTGCAACATGCCATGCGAACAAAACCACCGAAAGATCTGCAGGAGCAGGATATGTAAATCATGACATTCTTGACATACGTGTCACAATTTTGATGCTATGACTATTTTTATATGTTCTTCATACAGTCAATGTTATGCCAAACCAAGTTTGGTATCGATATCATTACCGAAACGGCCAGGAAGTCTAAATGTCGTAGGCGGCTACATAGATAGATAGATAGATAGATAGATAGATAGATAGATAGATAGATAGATAGATAGATAGATAGATAGATAGATAGATAGATAGATAGATAGATAGATAGATAGATACGCTCAATGTCGCCGAAGCCCCCTAAGAAATGCTTCGCATTTAATACCGTGTTTCTCGCGATAGCAAACGCCACGTGCAGCGAACGACCCTATTGGCTGCATGGTGTAAGAAACAAGAAAGAAAAGAAAACATTCTTCTAACACTGGGTTCTCATGAGCGAAACGCCGTTACTGAGCGCCACGCAATGCAATCGCATTTCCTCACAATTCCTTTTAGGGAGGTTGAGGCAATCTTGTTTTTGTCTGTTTTTGCTTAGCACGCTTTTGAGGCTATCGCGCCACGTTCCCGGTCCCACATCAATTGCATGGTTGCGTGTTTGGGGGAGTGGAAGGGGAGAGCGTTCAGCCATACTTTAAAAACTTGTTCATTCGTGCGCTATAAGTTTATACATGCGTGTGCCCATGTGCGTGTGTACACGCGTGAAATTTAAATTTTTTTGAGGGCGAAAGGACGGGAAGGATTTAACTCCTTCAAACCCCATTCGACTACGCCAGAGTTTCACGTGATAGGACGTATATTTAGAAAATATTCTACGTTCACAGCCACGACAAACTGGGCATTTGAAGGACCAACGCAATCCAACCTAACAAAAGAAGACACAATGTTCATCCGCAAACTCGCCATTGGAACATTTTCTCACTACCCCCATATACACGCTACGCAGTGCTAAAGATCCCGAAACTTCTACAAACGATGCTCTGCAACGGATGCACAGTGATGCCAATTTAGCGGTTTTCCAGCTAAGTCTGGCGGATTTTATTTTATTTTGACGGGAAAAAAATCAGTCTATTGGCTAGCGGATTCTCTAACGGGTCATTTTGTACATAGCGGGTTTCTGGCGGATGCCTCACGCAGTGGACCGATTCAAAATCGCCCTGCAAGAAACCATTTCAGTGTTCTCTAAAAATGCGGAAATTGTTTAACTTCCGAAGCTCCTGTTCACTTGCTCCGCCTATCTCAGACAAACAAATCCGTAAGGTTTGAAAGCGGCTATCAATTTCTAAGAAATATATAACGGATGAGCTGTAATACACCAATCTGTGGACTCTGCGCGCCTCCTGCCGCTCGCCGTGCAAACAAGTGACTTCGCTATCGTGCAAGGAGCGGGCTTGCTGTTTGCACCGCAAGCGGCAGATGGCGCCTGTAGTCCTGGCGAGAAGGGAAGCGATTGCTGAAGTAGCCACCCAGTTCTTTTTTCAAAGACGATAGTCTTTCTTGGGGACCTGTCTGTCGTTCTGTCTGTCTGTCTGTACATTTGTCTGTTTGTCCGCCCTAACGATACTTCAAACGGCAGCAAACGGCCAACCCCATTCGAAGCGCCCACGAATATTGATCAAGGTTTAGCGTTCATGGTTGTGCGATTGTCCTTTAAAAAGCAATTATTGCGCATATATGAAGCGCCATAACAACACTTCGAAGTTTTTTTACGTCTGCCTTTATACAAGAAAAGTCACACACAAGTAAATCTAAGGAATGTAGCGTTATCGCGCTGCGCTGACAGTGCATGCGATGCTCAAAAAGGTGTTTACAACGCATTGCCGCGACGTCATGGTGGTGGCACCTTCCCATCGCTTTGCATTCTACACCTTATCACCTCCGAGACTGGCGCTCATCGTTGTCCCCTAGCTGCACGCCTTCGTTTTTCGAAGATAAGTGCCAGAATGCGCTTGTGTCTAACGTGCCTCCATGCGCTCGTTCGCCTCCGCTACACACTCGAGGCACTCTAACGCAGCACATCCAAAATACCCTTCACCGATTTTCTTGCGCAGAACATCAAATAAACGTTTTGTTCACTCTCTCCAGATGCAAGACTACCGCGTTTCTACTACATTTGCGGTGTAACATGCAGATTTGGAACCATTTTTTTTTTTTGCGTCCGAAGTTTCAGAGAACAAAGGAAGACGTCCGACTGCCTTTTGTCGAAAAAAATGGTTCTGTTTATTCTCAGTGTAACCTAGTTCCCCTTTCTCTTGAGTTATGCCGAAAGTGGTATATTCGCAGAAGTGCAGGACGGAGTGGTTTGCTGAGTAAGGATCCTTTACTCAGCAAATGGCTGGATTGCAAAGCGCCTGCTGATGAAAAACAAGTTGCGGCGTGCAAGTGCTTCTGCTGTCAACTAGGAAGCAGATATTCAGACCTGAAAACTCATGCGAACACCAAGAAGCATATGGAACTGGCTGGCAGTTCTTCGATCCATAAGCAACTGGGCTTCACGACAAAAAGGCAAGTCCAACCAGCGAATGCCGCTGAGGGAAGACCTGCTCTATTTATCGCAGAATATTCTTCAATTATGACGCCTTATCACTTGTGCCATCTCTATAAAAGTCGTTTCCTGACAGCGAAGCTGCAAGAGCGCATCAAATGTGGCGCTCCAAGTGCGCTTCCGTGATTAAGAACGTTCTTGGCCTACACTTTAAGGCGGATCTGACAAAGTACGTTAGGGGACAGCTATTACAGGTTGTTTATAGATGAGTCGACCGACATGAGTGTCACGAAATTCCTTGCCATTTCTATCATCTATCACAGTGTCACGAAGTCAAGGATCAGGACCACATTCCTTAATTGTGCACCTTGGAAGTGTGCATGGCAGATGAAATTGTGGTGGCCGTGAAATCCACTCTGATGGAGTACTGTTTTAAACTGGAAAGGATGAGAGGCGTAGGGACAGACAAAGCTAGCGTTATGCTGGAGATCAAAAATGGCGTTTTTCGAAAGTTGAAAGCTGAAGCTCCCCACCTCGCAATCATACGCTGCGTCTGCCACTTTTTGCAGCTAGCCACGTCGGCTGCTACGGCGGAAGCATTGCCGAGAATCTTAGAATACCTAATAAGCAAAACGTACAACTCGTTCGCAAGATCCCCTGCCCGGCAAATGGCGTACAAGGAGCTCTGCGGTCTGGTGAATGACGGAGATGAACCACGGAAGATTGTGCAAGCGTACAGGACGCGATGTATATCCCTCGAAATAGCCTTATCGAGGATCGTAGACCAGTGGCGAATTGAAGGCGCACTTTGAGATTGCAAGGCGCACTGAAACGTGCTGTGCTGCAGAGGTGCTGTATGGCATGTATGAAAACCAGATCAATCTGGGGTACTTGCTTTTTTCGAGACAGATTCTGACAGATGTTCAAAAGGTTAACAAAGCATTCGAGGTGCAAGATGCGGATCAAACAAAGCTGCTGAAAGACCTCATGTCATTGCTTTCAAGCTTCGTTGAAAAAGTCCTAATTCCGACAGACCAGATTGAAGTTCTGACGTGCAGACTTGTGGACCATTTGAATCCCAAGCCATATCCTTGCTATCTGTTTGAGACGTGCGTTGACAACATGAAAGCTCAGAAGACCGACGAGTTCTCTGTCGCAGGTGAAGCTGTGATGCTAGAAAGCTGCATAAGGTTTATAACCATGCAAGTACATGAAATCAGACAGCGACTTCCCGACAACATCACAGTTCTCCAGAAAACCTCACTCTTATCGGTCGAAAACGCTTTGTGCGTCGTGAAGGACCTATTGTTCCTTTGCTGGAAGCAATGGCAATGCCCCCTGAAACGATCCAAAAATTTCAAAACCAGTGGGGCAAAATCACCCTTCTGGACTGGAAGCAAATATCGCACACGCATTCGTTCTGGTGTGAAGTTCATTCCTATATAAGGACGCCTGCGGCGAAAACCCGTTCGCCGAGCTGGCTGGATTTGCTATGTCGAGGTCCGTGCTGCCGTATTCAAATGCCAAAGTAGAGTGGGCATTAAGTCAGCTTAACATCGTGAAATTTAAGCTGAAGAACAAGCTCAAGCCTGAAACAACAAATGCCATCCTCGTCGTAAGAGCGAGGCTGAAGCGACACCAGAAAAGTTGTTTTGATTACGAACTTCCCGCCGCAGTTGTTAATGAAATCGGGACATCTACAACGTATGTGCAACCAAGTCACCTGTCTGGTTCCTCAACAAGTACCAGCGGTCCTGTGGAGATGGTTTGAGACGACAACAGTGGCGACGAAGACTTCGATGTGTTTTTCGTTGACCTGTGAGTTTTTTTTAAGAAGATAGTCTTTCTTGGGGACCTTCGACGCAAATGCTTTGGTCTGTCTGTCTGTCTGTCTGTCTGTTGGTACACTTGTCTGTTTGTCCACAATTACCGGCATCGGGTACTTGAAACGGCCGACCCCATCCGCAGTGACCACCAATGTTGCTCAAGGTTGAGCGTTCGTGCTTCTGCAATTGTCAATTGGAAAGCAATTATTGCGCATGTCTGGGGCACCATAAGAACACCCATATATTCTGCATGTGCATCTCTTACTAGAAAACGCATACATAGGTAACATTAAGGACCATAGCGCTTATCCCGCTGCGCTTACCATGCAACGCTTGCACGGAACGGGCAGTGTTTCGAATGCTTTGCTAAGACGAGATGGTGGTGGCACCTACCCCTCGCCTCGCGTTCTACACCTGATCACTTCTGAGACGGGCGCACATGGCCACGCGCTTTTTCCAAAATAAACTGCCAGATGGCGCTCATGTCTCACGTGTGACGTGACTTGATGCGCTCGTTCGCCTCTGCTGCACGCTCGAGGCGCATAACGCAGCGTTTCCGGAATACCATTCACCAATTTTCTTGCGCAGAACATCAAATAAATGTTTTGTTCACGCTCTCCACACGCAAGACTATCGTCTTTCGACGACATTTGCAGATTACATGCAGATACGGGGCCAATTTTTTCAGCAGCGTGAACTTTTATAACCTTTAGCCTCATCTTTGATAAGGTTCACCAATGACGACCACCGCAGCACTGGAGACTCAAGTGTTCTAGTTAGACTGCTTGAAAGACTATTTTTATTTGTTGTTTCAGCTCTCGTAGTTTTGGAAAGCTTTTAAGAATGATAAAGGTATTTACCAAAGGAAATCGCAGTGTTTTTTTGAATAAATTAGGCCCTAGTGGAATATTTTGTGGATAGGTTTTAGAATCTCGCGGAATCTTGCGGACTTCTCATTGCTTTTAGTGGACGTCTGACGCTCAGCGATGACAGCACTGCGCACAAACACCCTATAGTATGCCATCCAACTTATGGACAAACCTATCTATAGTGCCTATCATTGAATTACTGGTCGAACCAGGGAAAGTCCAGCTGTCAACTGAAGCCTCGAAGATCATTGACGTCTGGCCAAAAGGGTGAACTCGTCAGCTCAAACGCACGGCATTCTGCAAGGACTAGGTATCCCTGCCAACCTGAACGACTCTACCACCGCCAAATTCCTTTAACAGAGCTCATTTGGAACCGGCGGAGTGATTGTGGTGCTCGGCTGCTTACCCGAAGTTGGCGAGCTGGATCTTGGTCACGGTGGTCACAGTTCCACGAATTCGAAATGCCGGAGCCCCGTGTTCTCCGACATATCATTGTACGTCACAACACCGTATGGCCGACATTTTCCGAGCCCTCCACTATGGCGTCCCCCTTCAAGCGAACTACATCATACCGTCATGGTATGTCGCTGTAGACGACGAAACTCTCTGCGAAGGGCGATGCGCGGCGTCTCGCTAGCGAGGCCGCCAGCTTGTTTCGCAAATGTGTTGTTTAGGTATGTTTAACAATGGCATGTTTTAACAATGAATAACGTTGTGTGAACAACTTTTAGTGCATTGGAGTGGCTTCTGTACTTGATATCACGGTACGCAGCTCGCACCAAAGTTCAAGGGAATTAAAATCGCGGAATTAAACCCAGTCTGTTGATGTAGTCAGCGCAGAATGGAACGGGCAATATCAACGCTACTTATCCTGCACTACATATGTGTTTTGCCGAACACGAGACCAAGGCTGGCAGTAGAGCTTTGTTTCGGCAGCCTCGACAACACTGCTTGGCATCGAGTGAAACGTTGTTAACGCTATGCTATAAATACGGTTAGAAAAATTTATAACTGCACTGGAAGGTTTTAGCGGTAGATATTGCCCGTGTGAGCCGAGCACGAAACAGTAGCTAATGCATTGCGACCAGCTATAAATGAACTACAAGACACCCGAAACGGGAACTGATGGGAAAAGTAACAAAAGCAGTATAGCGGCCGTTATTTCGAGAGCAGAACAGTCCATGTGTTACGCCGCATGCAAAGCAAACTTAGTCGCATTCTCAGTGGTAGCAACACACTCAACTATTAGTTGGTTCAAGCACATTTCACACAAGAAGTCTTGGTCGCTACACCTGCCGTGCGAGGCAGAGTCAAACAGAACGTGAGACACTGGCAATCGAGACTACCAGTGGGCAGGCAACATTGCTTGTGACACGGGCGGCAGTTGTCTCAGTCTGACTCGAGTAGGTACGCGGACCGAGCCGTTAGCTAGGTGCGCGTAGCTCTGAGGAGCAGTTCCAGGTGTCTGTCCAGATTCAACAGCCTAGATTCTTCGTCGAACCAGTCGACGGGTTTTTCATTACGACGCTCAAGTCAATTTCAATGTCTTTTCAAAGCAAGGCACGAATTCATTCATTCGAAGGGCTGTCAGATACAATGAGATGCCGACGTCTGCAACCAGTTAGACCTCGTGGCCTTGAAGACGCCGCTTTGTATTGGAGAAATGTCTGCATTATCGATACAGGCCACACGCAGGGGTAATATATATATATATATATATATATATATATATATATATATATATATATATATATATATAATGTGAAAGGAGACAACGTGTACGTGTTTAACATTTTATTGCATGCCCATGTCTGCGTCGTCTCTCGCCAGGCGCGCTTCAGGGGGGTCACAGGTGGGGATTCGGGCGGTGCATGTCCGGCAGCCTGAAACGAAAAATTTGATAAACGCATCGTGCAACAAATCGCAGCTGCCGTGAATCGACAACAATCAACATTGGTGCTTGACTTCCAGATATCACGATATTATCAGATGCACTGTCGAGTTCCGGAAAGTTCTACGACATAGCACGTACATATTACGGGACTGGTCGATTTCATGCACATCCTAGTGTGACCCGCGGCAACCGGGAACCGATGCAGTGAGATTCGAATGAACAGCTGAGTGCCATGCACCGAGCCCCGAAAATGAAAAAGAACAGATACGCGGCACGTAAAGCCCCATGGTTTATAGCGACAAAAGTGAGCTATTCATTCTGGAACTCAAATTAACAAAATACAATTACGAGGAACAATCTAGTGCATCGGATGTGGACTTTAGAAAGCCCAAAACCTGGTGCATTAGCTATGCTTTAATAAAGAAAATAGAATTGCGCTTGGAGAAACACTGAAAGAAAGAACCGGATTAAAAAGAAAGAACATTGACGTTTGTGAAAAAAATATGGTGATGGGATAAGGAGGTACATTACATGGCGGCGCTGACATGGCACTATTATCACCTAGTTATTTTGAATAAAAAATTCACATCCGACCATACCCTTCGTAAAGTAGCGTGAACAATACACAAGACAATAATATTTGTCATCAATTTTGCGTTCGTGTCCATGCAATATCGCCCCGCAACCGGCCCTTTAAAGTCTAGAATGACACGTGTGCTCTGATGCAATCATTGACTGGTCGTTTCGGAACACTCTAGATAACTCTCCTGAAAGAGAGAGAGAGAGGTTGAGGAAAGGAAAAAAATGCAGTCTCTCTCTCTCGGATCTGAAACGACCTGTAAAAGACGGCAGCGGTGTGGCACCAAGAAAGTGGACTGTGCCGAGTTTCAGGAAAGGACGCGCACGCAAGCCGGATCACTGTTGTGGGACGAAAGGACACCGTTTTTACTCGATGTTTTGTTTTAAAAAGCATAACCAAACTAAGCTTTGTTGGGGCTTTTCTCCAAGTGCGACCAACAACACAGATATTAACAAGAACACTTAAATGAAGCGCACACTCGGCGATAGCAAGCTGCTCTCATGAAAGCTGTACATACTGAACCCGTGTTCTTGCACCAAGAGTCTTCGATGTCAAAGATGCCTCTACGGAATTCGAACACTGCCTGGCATAGGCCGTCCGCCTGGAATGAAAAAAGACACAAGTTGGTACGCGCTGGCAATTGTCGTGCGTAAAACGAGTGAGAACCCCCTTCATTGGCATTTAAAGTATACCCGAAATGAGAGGAGCAGATTGAAAAAGTGCCTAAACTGGATCCGCTTGTGTGTCGCGAACGATAGTCTACACACGCTGGTGTGCCAATAAATTGTTTATGATACGATTAGTGCAATTATATTCACATAAAGGAAATCAACATCCGTATATCAGGTAAATTAAGTGTAGAAAAAATGTCCACCTAGATATAGTGAATCGCGTGGGCATTCAGTATCGCTCAGTGTACCATAAAAAAACGTATCAATAGAAATATGTACAACAGAAACACTTTCCTAGAGCATCGGGCTGCATGGCTGCAGATGCAGTTTAGATATAGGCTTCCGTTGATACTTGAAATATAGCACAAGGACTTAGCATGCGGCATGACTGTGTGAAATATGATTAGGACGTTGGTCTTTGGAAACTTCAGCAGAAAACTACAGCTGAAGTGGCCGGCCCGACACTTTAGACAAGCGATTTTGTCTCTAACACTGGGTGCCATTTAATATAACATATGGCCAGTAAACCCATTTAATATGTCCCGCCTCGAAAGGTACAGATGAGCAAACAAGTGTGGATGTTGCCTAAAAACTTGTGCGTGATGTAAAATGTGGGAACAGTGCCATAAGAACCAGCACAAAATCATCAGTTAACCCAGGAAATCAAGATTACCACAGTCCTGAAAGGAAGCGCTAAAAGGAGCATTCGCGCTGCCTCACAAGTATGACCAAGGGTTACAACAGCTGCACGAACAACAAATTTGAACCCGACAGGATGTAGATCATGATTTAGCCTCACATGCTTTGTGGCTGTAAAAGTAATCATTCCAACCAAATCGCCATATTTACGGTAATGTCGTATAGCGAGTCTTCTGGAATTTAAAAACATACGTGAACGCCTATATTTAAGTGTATATGCTGCGTGCCATCATAATCGTGCAGTTCACTACCCGGGAGTGACACGAAACGGACCCCGGTAATCGATGTAACAAACGTCACGCAAGCTAAACGCCCAAACACGGGAAAGATGGCAGATATGTTCCAACCTACGACCCACCTTTAGACACATTGATAGCTGGCCTATAGCCGGGTACAACATTAGAAGGCAGCAGAGGCCCCGCCTCGGTAACTGAAACGCTGTAGCCAATTTCTCCGCGACTAAACAAATAGTCCTCCACAAAAATATTGCCACTGCGTCTAAAGCGCGTATTCCGATAAGGATCGTCCCTCACACATTACGCTCGATTTGATGAGTGGCACAGAAACACTCAAATACTGGCATGAGTGAATGGAAACATTGTTTCCCGATTATCGTTGGCGAGGCCAAAATGTGCATTCGCGCAGCTAGACTAAGCTATTTTATCACACCGGTGCCAACGATCAGTCGTTCACGCAGCAAACTGGAAACAACGAATGCAGCATGTTCTCCGTCGGCAGGTTTATCGGCCATCTGGCTCACGCCGGCAGCTGAAGTGCACGCCCCCTATTGGCAGACGCTCGTGTGCATCGGCCTTTGAGGGGAAAAGGCCGCTGCTTTTTAAAGTGGTGCCCGACTAGAGTTGGTTTCAACCATCAAAACAGTGCAAGACGTGTTCACCATCAGAATAAAGAACACATTCCACCACTGTTTTGAGTCTCCTTCAAGCAGAAGAAAGTCCGAAATGTCTGATCAAATGTGAAAATTGACCGGCGTCCCACGCGATCACGGCACCGTAGGTTGTCGCAAGTTTCTTTGAAAATTTTCATGTCAGTTCGTTGTTAGCGAAACTGACATCAAACGATGACATCACACGCCATGACCGCGTGGTCAAACGTGGGCGCATCTTTACGGCACTGCAAAACAATGTCGGGTGTCTCAGATCATGGAAGTGACAAGAAACCACATCCGATGCAGACACCCTTCGAAGTGTATCGAAGTAAGAGCACTTCGCCCTGAATGAACAAGAAGATTGATCTGGCCACCATGTAGTCTTTCAAAGGACGGGAGTGCACCGTGATTTCGGGAGGGGGCACACCCTTGAAATGGCCATTTTTCGTTTTCTATGCCATGCCAAAAAAACTTTGGCGGCACAGCACGTGCTCGGTGTGCCACTCCCTGGCTAAGCCGCTGTCCAGGAGGAATCGCTCGAGGGTCTTAAAACGCTCATTTCCGCCTGGAGCTTTTTGCCGACGATGCTACGTGCGTGCGCCTGTGATAATCGGGAGTATTAGCTAAGCGGTTAAGCACGCCAGGGCGGCGGAGCGCATGCCAAAAGTAGTAGGAGAGTTATGTCCCGCTTGTATCATCACAGCGCATTGCTGTGCAACCTGATGAACAGCGTTTAAGCTACTGTCAATCGAGCGGATGCTTAGCTTGGAAAGCGCCTGGACGCTATCCTACGTCAAGCCTTCGAGGACAAGACAAAAATGAGCGAGATGCTGCCGCGCATGAGCAGTTGGCGTCTCAGCTGGTTCATTGGGGTTCCCCAAGCCGCTTAGCTATTACTCTAATGCTTACGTCAAATGAAGGCGGCATTGTCTGGGAGTATGCTTCTATACTCACGAATGCTTCAGTATGCACGACTAATCAAATATGCTTTCGATGCTGGTTGTTCAGCTTCCTCATATTGGCGACCAGGCCAACTTAACTTAAGCTGCTGCCATGCGACATTCAGTTTCTAAAATGCATTAGTTTCCGAGGGGGAATTTTTGTGTATATAAATTGTATCACGGTTAAACGCAATGGCGCGAGGAAATTTCTACTAGGCGTCGTACCCCAGGAGGCCACGTTGTTTTTTAGAGCTCCCAGAGGTGTGCTTACCTTGTCGTTAATCGGCGTGCAAATGGAAGCGACGTAGCGACATGCATGGCGAAGGCAGACACTCCGGCTAGTGGTGAACTCCAAGAGAAGGTAGGGTCTTTCTCTTATTTGCTCTCGATCCTTTGTGAGAAAATGCTTGCATAAAGGCAAAGCGAGGGTAAAGGCACATTGTAGCTACCACGGCAACTGACATTCACGGACGGAATAATAGCAAGAGGCATTGTATACGTAGTAGTGCGTAGAATATATCGCCGCAGCCGAACATGCCAATATTATCTAGCTATATATATATATATATATATATATATATATAATATATATATATATATATATATATATATATAGCCTGTGCGACTGAGGTTCCAATGAGATTAAGAATACACAAGGACGCGAAGTTATAACCAAAATTAAAACAGTAATGAAACTGGTCACGGCATTTAGAGCAGCAAGAAACAAAAACTGGGCGGCAATTAAGACAATATTCCGTGTGTATGAGCCGGATTGCAGAGGCAAGAAGCAGGTATTGAAACACTAATCTTCGGGAGACGACAGCTCGACAACAGGAAAAACCAGAGAAGTGAATACGAGCCAGTAGTAGTCGTTGAGCGTGGTAAGTTGAAATCACCGAAGTTGAAATCACCAAGGTGTAGTTTAGTTCCAGATGCACGACGCAACTTAGACCCGATAATGTAGGCTGAGACAGACACGAATAAACCGAGATGTTGGGGGTCATACTAGCGAAATTAGACAGTGTAATTGAAGAAGAGATACAGAAAGACTCATTTAAAGCAATGAATATACTTGGCATAAAACACCGTTAAAATCTTGACCAAGGGGTTAAGTTTGGTCGGTCTGCTCCGAGTATACAGCTAGAACAAAGCAAGCAAAGCAACCCGCTATGGCGGCGGGGTGCGCCACTACAGTGCTAGACTACTAACCTAAAGTTCGGTGGATCGAATCCAGGCCTTAGAAGCCGACTTGCCATAATGGCACACTCCTAAAGCGCCAAGTAAATTCAAGGACATTCTTCATTTACACATTCCACTAAAACTTCTCTGTTCATCCACTAAACTTCAGTGTTCAGCAACTGAAAACTTGCTCCGTCGGCTACAATGAAATGCTACTGGCGTGGCTGGGAGTGTAATGCACACGGTCAAACACAACAGCGCAACGCCTTAGCCACGTAATTACGCCGTCAAGTACACCGCGCCGCTAGAAACCATTCTGAAACTGAGCGCATACCCTAGCTTTCTATACTGGAAGCAATAGAATCAAAAACGCCAAACTCACCAAAATTGCGGCACGCGTAACGTTGTAGACAATGCTGAGGAACTTGGGGTCCAGCTGGTTATCCGATTTCTCCAGTACGGACTGGGCGAGCCTTTCGTAAGGCGTTACGTGAGAGCGTAATTCAAATTGCGATATGAGGACGCATGTGTGCATTATCGTTACATCCTCCGGGCTCACTACGCAGTTCCTGAATATATCCGGCTTTTCTGCGCTGATGACTGCCACACACAGCAGCAGTTGCAGTACGAACTTCAACATCGCAACGGAGCACTTTGGTCTTCCTCGGAGGGATACGATCTCGCTGTGCCGATCGACTGAAAGCAGGCTACCGCGGAATGTAAGCGCAGGGTGTCCCGTTTTATACGGCCTTTCTGGAGGCGGGGCTTGGCTTATCAGCTGCGATAGTGAAGGTTATAGTGATAGTAAAAGTTCAGGTGTTGAGAGCCCATGCTTCGCGCGTGTGTGCGCCATGCTTCTGTGACGCTGCAAATAATTACGTTTAGTAGTTTAAAAGCGTCTGCCGAAACACACAAAACCCGTGCTCTTCTTCGAAGTGACACGCACATACGCACATGTACTTGTTTTAAAGTGGTAAAATTATTTGATAACTGCTGCGCAGAATACGCGAGTCTGAATAGTAGGATTTCGCTTTAAAAGTGCGCAGGAATAAGCTGGATGAAAATTGATTTTTTTTAATACGTTATAAATGTTTCGTGCACTCGAGATGGACCTTCATGCTCTGGGCAGGGCACGCAGCATATACGGCGTACCATTACCGCATCCACGACGCATGCGCTACAGACACACCTTCAGCAAAGCTTCATTTTCGTGCAGCAGCGGCGATGCCAGCTTTTATCGCTATGTTACGTATCTAAAAACGACGTGGTCAGTTTTCTTTGCCAACTTTGGTGAAGCAGTTGGACGAGTCTGAACAGCAAGGAAACGTTCACGCACTTTACCCTTACGTGCATTACAAATAACCACTGGTCGTCGTCGAGGTTAATTCAGACTCTTCGATTATGGTGCGCCCTGTGATCGTGCCGTACGGGCCACCACTTGAAACACCTCTGTTTACTCAATTTATGTTTTGCACAATAATAAAACGTTTCACACCGTGGCAGATTTTGCACAGGCATGGTATCGAAGCACCTGAAGTTTAGTGCGGTTTTTAGTGTGTGGTTTTGATTGCTGCGCAAGCAGTATTGCGCGTTGTAAATGTGATTATAAGTATTATATTTAATGAACGTTGCATGTGCATTTTAACGCGAAAGAGTTTAATGCCGGCGTTCAACATGGCTTCATTTTCGTATTCCCTGCCTCAGTATTGCTTTTCGAAACTACCGCTATGAGATGCAAAGAAAAAAAAACTATAAAGATAAATTTCTCTCGCATGGAGTTTAATTTACAACCCTTTGTTCAGCAGTTACCCACGCTGAACGACTCGGCCACAAAGCACACGTTCACCAGCACACTATCGGAGAGATATTTGTAGCTTCACGTCGTCTCGGACGTCCGTGGTGAAGTTTATTGGTCGCAGAACAGCACGGCTCTTGGAAAAACGTGTCGGCTAAGTATGCCCTCTAAAAGGACAGCCTGCGCACTTTTTTTTTCGTCACCTGTGCCACTGGCCATACATTTGGCTAACTTTTACTGGCAATATATAATTTACCGTTGGCGGTGCAAAGAGATTGCGGGCACTTCAGCATGTTCTCGTTATCATTACTGAGGTGGCGCGAAGGGCGCACTCTGGAGGCCGTGACCCCGTGCGTGACAGGTGCGCTCCCATTCGTGTCGGGATTGGGATGGCTTGTACGTATTGTGCTTTCAGCACAAGTTTGTGTTGAAGTTACAGAAGGCACTGAAACTTTACTAACAGCAAAAGCCACGTTCGCCAAAGTATAGGTCACTGTGAGAACTGCTACACAAATAACAATTGTGAGAGCTGTTAGTTCACTGTCATCCAGTGCATACTTGTGTATTGGTTTCGTGATTCCTTCTTTTTGTTCGAACAGCCACTTTAGGTGTCGAGGTGCGACAGTCGCTGATTCGTGCTTCTCTTGCGTATGTTCTTTTGATGCGTCTTGTTGCTTCGGCAGCACACAGCAATGATCAGGCAGCTCTGCGTTTTTTGTGTGACAATTACAATTTTCGCTTTAGCACAAATTGCTTCGCCCTGGAGGCGAATAAGTGTACTACAAACTTTTAGCTACCTTTGTGAATACACTTGCCATATTTGTGTTATCCTGGTTCCTATGACAGAGGGATCAACTGTGAGCCTCCTGTATACCATCATTTAAAGTGCCAAAAGTCCAGATTATGACATAAAAAAAATTGGCATTTCCCACTAACTGTACAAATCGATGATATGCGAAGCGGAAATGAGGAAGATTGATATGCCACTTTAATATGAACACTTTAAAATGAGTCATTAGGTAAGCGTAGCTTATGCCGTACATCCCTTTCATGTCCTGATTATCATATTTGGACGTGCCTTTACCTTCATTGTCTATTCACGTGATCTGATACCGAATTTGTGCTGACCCGCAGGTCGCGGGATCGAATCCCGGCAGCGGCGGCTGGGTGCCATTGGAGGCGGAAATGTTGTAGGCCCGTGTGCTCAGATTTGGGTGCACGTTAAAGAACCCCTGGCGGTCGAAATTTCCGGAGACCTCCACTACGGCATCTCTCATAATCATATGGTTGTTTTGGGACGTTAAACCCCACATATCAATCAATCGCTTATACCGAATTTGATACATGTGGAGTAGCGAAACGACCACGAGCACACCAAGAACGTGATGAGTAGTCATGACTACGCATAACATGAAAATTATGGCATGCATGTCATGATTTCCACGTTAGGGTCAGCCCCTTAATTTCGCCATGCAGTACTATCTTACCATACCTGTTTTGCAAAATGTCCTGTGAACGAAAGCACCGCAACAACAGCGAGGCTACAACCGTAACTCATGAGATTCTAGACACACGATTCATGGTTTTCATGTAATGACTTGTGGCCCCGCCGCGGTGGTCTAGTGGCTAAGGTACTCGGCTGCTGACCCGCAGGTCGCGGGTTCGATTCCCCGCTGCGGCGGCTGCATTTCCGATGGAGGCGGAAATGTTGTAGGCCCGTGTACTCAGATTTGGGTGCACGTTAAAGAACCCCAGGTGGTCAAAATTTCCGGAGCCCTCCACTACGGCGTCTCTCATAATCATATAGTGGTTTTGGGACGTTAAACCCCACAAATCAATCAAATCAATCCTGTAATGACTTGTGAATTATGTTCATCATACATTCATGTTATGCCATACATATTTTGATATTGATAGCGTTATCGAAAGGGCCACGAGGGTTAAAAGTCGTAGGCGGCTAGATAGACAGACAGATAGATAGATAGATAGGTAGTCAAATAGAATAGATAGATAGATAGATAGATAGATAGATACGCTTAAAGTCACCGATGATCGCTAAGAGATGCTTCGCATTCAAAAGATTTATTGATGGTTTTCAATTATTTGCGCACTGCAATTACTTATTGCGTCCAGCTACGTAGTTATCTATCTATCCCCCTATGTCTGGTGGCTCTAATAACCACCCCCTTATCTTGTGGTCAACTGAAAATAGTAGGTGTTTGTAAAAATGGTATGGCGAGTACGAATCGCTGGTCATGACATTAATCATTTCACAATTCCTTCACAAATGTCGTCAAACACTTTTCGCCAGACAGTGGCACGTTCCCGCGGGAACGCATGCGCCACTGGTATGCGGGTGTGTTTCACTGGTGAATGGCATCTTAACGCGATAGCGTTAGAGAGCTCGTGTCGCAGCGATTCCACTGTCAGCGTCGGCACCATTGGTTGTGAGCGAAAATTTGTCTTTGAGCGCAGAATCGAGAACGAAGCAAATAAAATAAAGAGTGGAAGTTTCGGTTCCTGTGAGAATTGAAACCCGACCAACGCGTGGCAAGCAGGTGTCCTACCACAAAGCCACGATGTTACTTTTTTCTAAAGACGATAGTCTTTGAAGAGTGAAGTTTGAAGTTTATTTTATTTCTTTCTGATACAGAAAGAGGAGTAAGAGCTAAAGGCCGTATTGCCTGACAGAGGCTCCTACTCCTATGCGCATTCGCCATGTGTGTACATGTTTGCATGCGATGCGAGTATACAAACAATAGAGCAACCAGAAAAATCAAAATATGCATGTACATAATTGTCACTGCAAATAAAGCATTACAGGTAGACATCATACATGAAAACTCTTCATGAAAACAAACATATCATACAGACACTTCAAGAATGTATACCTATACGCATTAAATTGTGAACTTTCAACTTGTAGCGCAAACTGTATATGCGGTACACGTAGAAAATTAGACAGATATATTTTATTGATAAGTTATCGTGGAATGTACCAGAAAGTTCTTTATAAATTTTTTAAAGCGGGGTGCATGAAAATCTATATGATGTTCAACAATGTTAAATAGTCGGGGTACCTTATACTCAAGGTCCTGACGCCCGTAGTTGGTTCGCATAAGTGGTGGCATTCTCGTTTGGTGGCGTAATTGACATCGAGGGGGAGAAGCGGACAGGCTACTAACCTGGAGCCTGCGCTTTTTTATGTGCAAAAGTAATCTATATTAGTAGATTTGATTTGCTCTGTTTAACGAGTATTTCTCAAAAAGATTGTGTGTGGGTAAATCTCGCGGTCTACCGTGATAGTTTTCTTGGGGACCTTCGACGCAAAAACTTCGGTCTGTCTGTCTGTACATTTGTTTGTTTGTCAACTCCTTGTGGTACCGAGTACTCTGAACGGCACCAGTCGAAACGCCAAACGGCTGGCCCCATCTGCAGCGCCCACCATTGTTGCCCAAGATTCAGCGCTCATACTCGTGCGATTGTTAATTAAAAAGCAATTATTGCACATATTTGTTGCACCATAACATGTATATATTCTGTATGTGCGTCGTTTAGTAGAAAAGGCATAGATAAGTAATTCTAAGGACCGTAGCTTTTATCACGTTGCGCTGACCATGCAACGCTTGCACGAAAAGGAAATTGTTTACAACGCTTTGCTAAAACGACCCGGTGGTAGCATCTACACCCGTCGCATTGCTTTCTACACTTTATCACCTGCGATACGGGTGGGCATGGCGAGCGCGCTTCGTTTTCCAAGATAACTGCCAGAGAGCGCCCATGTCTCACGTGTGGCATGACTTTATACGATCGTTAGCCTCCACTGCACGCTCTAGGTACTCAAACGCAGCGCCTCCAGATTACCATTCGTCGATATTCTTGCGCAAAACATAAAATAAACTTTTTGCTCACT